ATTTTGATCTAGTCTGTATATTTCATTATTCCTCTTATTGCAGTTAATTATCCAGTCCCCTGTGAGCTAAAACAACCCCAAAACATCATCGAGCCACCTCCATGTTTTAATATTCCCAATGTGTTCATTAGGAGGGAAAGCATCACCTTTCTTGCACCAAATCTTCTGTACATCATTATATTCAAAAAGCTGAATGTTTTTTCATCACTCCATAGTACTTGTTCCCAAAAGCAAATTTCTTTATCCAACAACAACAATGTGACATGGTTTGGGAAGAGGGGTCCGTCGTGGTTGATTCCTATACAACTCACTTCGATTTAAACAACATTGTATTGATCCAGTACTGACGCTAATACCCATCGTATCCAAACTTTTGGTGATGTCTTTCGAAACAATTCTTGGGGTTTTATTAACCTCGCGACACAGTTTTCGTGCAGTTCTCGGTGACGATTTGAATTTTCTTCGACGCCCAGGTAAATTCTCTGTCATTCTAAACTGTTCAAGCTTTTTTTTATAACGGACTGTATTGTAGATCTAGAGAGAGCTAACAGGTTTGAAATAGTGCTGTAACTATTTACCGACTTGTGGAAGTTAATAATTTTCTGTGTCAAGTCAATTGTCTTCTCCATCGTGTTGTTAACGTAAGAATAACAATGGTGACACTCTATGCACTACGCGATGTTCTTTGCTGGAATTATCACAAATATTCTACTGAATAAATACTCTAGAAGGCTTCACCGATAAAATGATTATGTAAATTACTTATAGTTAAGCGAGTCAATCAATTTAAAACGATATTTTCGACTGTACGAATGATTTTGTCTTATCCTATTTTGCATAATTCTCATGTCAAATTTGTTTTATTTAGCCTATTGTTGTGAACATCGAATTTTATATTCATTTCTTTGTGATTATTAAAATAAAAACATTATACGGTCATTAGATTCTGAGAAACTGATAAAAATATTCAAAATTGATGGGTGTATGAATAATTTCGTCGTTGATTGTAGATAGATAGATAAAAAATATTACCAATAATAAAAATCTTGTCGGTATTAAATAACCCATTGAGATGTTGATATAACGTAAAAGAAAACAAACCAAACCAATATCTACTGAGATAGATAGATAGATAGATAGATAGATAGATAGATAGATAGATAGATAGATAGATAGATAATATTACCAGCAATAAAAATCTTATAGGCATTAAATAACCCATTGATAGGTTGATATACCGTAAAACAAAATAAAACCAAACTACTGTGATAGATAGATAGGTTGGTTTGTTTTCTTTTACGGCATATCAACCTTAATGGGTTATTTATTTAATGCCTATAAGATTTTTATTGCTGGTAATATTTCTTTTACCAAAATGTATTGCTGGTAATATTTTTTTAAATGTATAGCTGGTAAGTAGAACTTATATCAGTAGAGTATTATTCTTACAATCTAATTATATTTTCAGGTTTTAAATTAAATAACCCATTGATGTTGATATGCCATAAAACAAAACAAACCAAACAAGTGTATATTGAGATAGATAGATAGATAGATAGATAGATAGATAGATAGATAGTAGTAATAATAATAATAATGACAGGTTGTTTTTGCATAAAAAAGATTCAATAGGATATTACTGGAGGATAACGATTTTAATCTGTTGCTGCTGACAGGATTGTGAATGCATCCATATATAGCGTAAATGTTTAACACCAGCGACAAAGTAAACAGATTTTGTAAATAAAGTATTAAATATTAAGAAATTGACCATTAATAGTAAATAATTTTAAAAAGTCCAAGACTTACGCCTCAGCACTAAATTTTATTAAAAAAAAATCCGATCTTCAGGAGCAAGATAAATTGGAAATTATTCACAAATATCATATCTAGTTTTTTTGCATAAAAAAAATATGTGTTTAAAATCAACAAATTTTAAATAATTAGAACCATTCAGTTAGTATATTAAAGTTTGGTTTGCTTTGTTTTACGGCATGTCAACCTCAATGGGTTATTTAATGCCGATAAGATTTTTATTGCTGGTAATATTTTCTATCTATCTATCTATCTATCTATCTATCTATCTATCACGTCTTCAAGTCTAGGGCCAGTCATTATGTATTTTACATATCCACATAATATGCAACCCTTGTTTTGTTTTGTTTTACGGCATAACAACCTCAATGGGTTATTTAAGGCCGACAAGATTTTATTGCTGGTAATATTTTTTCCAAAAACGTATTGCTGGTAATATTTTTAACTTCAAAAATGTATTTCTGGTAATAATTTTCCTTAAAAAATTCATTGCTGATATTAAAACCTATTTTTACACTTTCATAGTGTTTTGACCCCAGTTTTTTTTTTTTTTTTTTTTTTTGGTGGGGGTTAACTATTTGCCTATAGCTGGGTCCCTAACAGGTGCTACCACCCTGGGTCAGGGTGGACCTGGGAACACCAGCAACGAAGAGGTGGTTCCACGCTACTCAAAACCTCCTGATCAGAGACCTTGCTGCTGGACGTAGTTTATCGTCTTACCCAGGACGCAGATTTATTTACTTAATATTTCTATAAAATTCCTTTCAAAAACGAAAAATGTTATCTGATACACATAATTGAACAAACGAAATTAGATACTGTAATATCATTAGGTCCTTAAGGACAACAAATTTAATATTAAGCTAACATCATAAATTTACATTTTTATGTAAGATATTTTAAACGAGATATGATTTCTTCTGTCTGTATTTCTGGGATGAGGTATTATAAATATTTACAATATTTATATTGTTCAGACTGTTGTCTTCATCTTTACTGTCACATTCACGACGTTTCGGCCGTTGTACGCCCCGGACTTCTTCAAGATCTGTCTATATTTCTGAGATGAGGTATTGTAACTATCTACGCTATTTACATTGTTCAGTGTTGTCCTCATCTTTACTGTCACATTCACGACGTTTCGGCCGTTGTACGCCCCGGACTTCTTTAGGATCTGTCTATATTTCTGAGATGAGGTATTATAACTATCTACGCTATTTACATTGTTCAGACTGTTGTCCTCATCTTTACTGTCACATTCACGACGTTTCGGCCGTTGTACGACCCGGACTTCTTCAGGATCTGTCTATATTTCTGAGATGAGGTATTATAACTATCTACGCTATTTACATTGTTCAGACTGTTGTCCTCATCTTTACTGTCACGTTCACGACGTTTCGGCCGTTGTACGCCCCGGACTTCTTCAGGATCTGTCTATATTTCTGAGATGAGGTATTATAACTATCTACGCTATTTACATTGTTCAGACTGTTGTCCTCATCTTTACTGTCACATTCACGACGTTTCGGCCGTTGTACGCCCTGGACTTCTTCAGGATCTGTCTATATTTCTGAGATGAGGTATTATAACTATCTACGCTATTTACATTGTTCAGACTGTTGTCCTCATCTTTACTGTCACATTCACGACGTTTCGGCCGTTGTACGCCCCGGACTTCTTCAGGATCTGTCTATATCTCTGAGATGAGGTATTGTAACTATCTATGCTATTTACATTGTTCAGACTGTTGTCCTCATCTTTATTGTCACATTCATATTTCAGCCGTTGTATGTTACGGCCTTCTTCAGGTGATATAGGTTGGAATTTCGAACCTAACCCTTTATTAAGTCCAGGGGGGTAGATTGTCCTGATTCCACTTGCCACGCCTTTTCTTAGATTTCAGTTTCTGTTATTTCCATTTAATAATTCAACTCTCTACGTTTTTTGTTCACCTCTGTTGTTGCCACAACTCACAACCCTTTGGGTCAAGTAACTGGATTGCTTCAACCAACGCTTTTATCCACTTGACCATGTGCCATCTACCACAGTGGACTAAATATCCTACAGAAAGCGTTCGGTTCGAAATCCCAACGTATATCGCCTGAAGAAGGCCGGACCGTGCAACGACCGAAACATCGTGAATATGACATCAAAGATAAGGACAACAGCCCGAACAATGTAAATAGTGTAAATAGATATAATTTTTGTTAATAAATTCAATTCTTACACCTGAAGAACTGATTTATTTCTGCGAAATATGAGTTGATAGATAAGTCTTTAAACATTAAGTAATTATATATATATATATATATATTAGGATGTAAAGTACAATCGCCTGATGAGATGCATTGACACGCATCGAAAGAAGGTAATACGATTAAGCTTTTTACTTAGTTTTTCTTGCGTTCGTACAAGTATATATATATATATATATAAAGGGAAGAGGTTATAGTAGTTCCAACGAGAGAAATGTGTGTATAATAAAAAGATGAAAGAAACCGCAAACGTCTTTGGTTGTAATGTTGATTTTAAATTTATGCTTTATGTGTGTGTGGGGGGGTTGTGTGTGTATTTTTGTACTACTACTAATAAATAATAATGTTGTTCTTCACAACTCTGAGTTTCATGGACGATACAATTGTCAGGTACTGGTCGAAAAACTGACCTTTGTAAAATTCAAATAGTGATATTTATAGCATACTGTTATGATAATGAAGCAGCCGATTTATTTATGGGGGTAAATATATATACTTACATACATCCAAATACAAACATATAAATATATTTTAAATACACATATACACATCACGTATACATCATATGTAGTTTCAAATATAATACAAATGTACACACATATCATTCACATCTACAGATATACAAATTTATACGTATATATATATATATATATATATATCCACATTTACATAGATGTACATAGGTACATACAAATATTTTATTATAATTACGATCTACGTATTAACATGTACACAACTACATTCTTTTAAAAATAAAACTATCACTCAATATGCCACTCTTATATGTGTGTGTGTGTGTGTGTGTGTGTGTGTGTGCACGTAGAAACAAACAAAGAAAAAGAGATAGAAAGAAAGATCGTGAACAAGAAATCTACACTGAATGGTGACAATCATGTTCACGCCATAAATCACCAAGAAGTGTTGATTTCTATGAATACACTGTTCTCATTGTTTCCATATATCTCATTCTGTTCATCTATCTATCTATCTATCTATCTATCTATCTATCTATCTATCTATCTATCTATCTCAATTTCTTTATTTCTATCTATCTATCTATCTATCTATCTATCTATCTATCTATCTATCTCAGTTTCTTTATTTCTATCTATCTATCTATCTATCTATCTATCTATCTATCTCAATTTCTTTATTTCTTTCTATCTATCTATCTATCTATCTATCTATCTATCTATCTATCTCAGTTTCTTTATTTCTTTCTATCTATCTATCTATCTATCTATCTATCTATCTATGTATCTCAATTCCTTTCTTTCTATCTCAGTTGCTATCTATCTATCTATCTATCTATCTATCTATCTATCTCAGTCTGTACATATCTTTCTTTCCATCTTTTTTTATATATATATATATATATATATATATATATGACACGCACACATTCAACACCCACGCACGCATCGATATATATGACGCATAACACACATACAGACACACACACACACACACATATATATATATATATATATATATATATATATATATATATATATATATATATATTAAAGACATTTTTTATGTTTAACATTCTTTTTATAGATACAAGTATTTTTAAATGCTATGTTTATAATAAACAGTATTAAATAACATTTACCGACCTTCATTTTTCATTCTTTTTATAGATATGAAAATTTCTCGGACATTCAGGCCGGTAAATGTTATTTAATACTATTTATTATAAACAGAGCATTTACTTAAATACTTGTATCTATAAAAAGAATGTTAAACATAAAAAAATGTCTTTAATAAATTGTCGGACTTTGTCCATTTCTTAATGTATGACGTCATTTGTTTACATTTGATACGCCATGAGCAGTTATGAATGTACGAGATTCATGGAAGATTGAAGTTTATAAGCAGTAAATTCGATCTTGCCAACCAAACGATCCTTTGTGGCCGAGAGGTTAGGCATGTCAAGCTTAATGACGGTTCCGTATATAGGATGCAGGTTCGAATCCTGTATGAAAATTTCTCGGACATTCAGGCCGGAAAATGTTATTTAATACTGTTTATTATAAACAGAGCATTTACTAAAATATCTATAAAAAGAATGTTAAACATAAAAATGTCTTTAATAAATTGTCGGACTTGGCCATTTCTTAATATATATATATGACATGATTTAGTATATATGTATATATATATATATATGTAGCAACTGTTAATACTCGCTGAAGAGTGGAAACGTACGAAACTCTGGAGTCGGGATGCTTAAGGTAACATTAATCAGCTAAATTTATTCATATTAATCATATATATACATATGTGTGTGTGTGTGTGCGGGGGGTGTAACAGCATAATTGTCGAAACCGTGTAACAGTATGAGATAATAGTCCATCTCACAAAATATTTAATATCTAAAAATCCCCTAAACTAATTAAGTTTCCTTTTTCCATGTTTTCAGATAAGACATTTAGCCATCTTGACACCATTTGTCACAAAAATCAATGGAAAACCCTTTGATTTATTCAACTAGAAAAAAAAGAACAGGTTAAAATCATTTTGTGCCAGGCCCACTGTCTTCCCAAATGAGCAATGATGAGAGGAAAAAGATCATTCAGGCCTTCAGCAATGGTACTAATATTCATACTCTGTCTTCCATCTTCAGAGTCCATTCAAGAACGGTGAATAAGTTTAAGAAAGACAGAACAGTATAGAGAAAAAATGAGTCAGGAGGTCACAACAACAAGAGGGATCTTCATTTCAACTAAGAGCTAAATATATTCTTATTGTTCAAAGTAGAGTCCAGTAGCGTTATAAAAACCTCGTAGAACAGTAAGATATCTTTAATAATTTCTAAGATGTAATGGTTCAAAGCTTAATCTAGCAATTGAACAATTTTGTTGTTACAGCCGAGATATATATATATATATATATATATATATATATATATATATATATATATATATATATATATATATATCTTTAAACATTTCTAAGATATAATAGTTCAAAGCTTAATCTAGCAATTGAACAATTTTGCTGTTACAGCCGATATATATATATATATATATATATATATATATATATAATCATTTCTAATATATAATGGTTCAAAGCTTAATCTAGCAATTGGACAATTTTTTTGTTACAGCCGATATATATATATATATATATATATATATATATATATATATATATATATATATCTTTAAACATTTCTAAGATATAATAGTTCAAAGCTTAATCTAGCAATTGAACAATTTTGCTGTTACAGCCGATATATATATATATATATATATATATATATATATATATATATATATATATATATATATATATATAATCATTTCTAATATATAATGGTTCAAAGCTTAATCTAGCAATTGGACAATTTTGCTGTTACAGCCGATATATATATATATATATATATATATATATATATATATATATATATATATATATATATATATATATGAATGAGTGTTTGTGTGCGTGTATGTACGTTAAACGTGACTCGTCTATGGGGATCAGTAGGAGAATGTTGAGTTCTTACATCAACGATGTCTGCTTTGAATACTTGGAATCAATAAAGAGAATACATGTCGCGATATAAAAATGATTGAGCAAAATCAGTACAACAAATGGAAGTAACGATTCTGAAATATAGGTTGCGTTAGAGCGGGCCAAGTAGCTCGCATGGTCGACAATAGGATTCCGATGAAAGCTTTTTGTACGAAGAGCTTTCTAAAGGAAGACGACCAATTCACTAGCCAACGAAGCATTATCAGGTTGGCATGAAGGAATTATGGGTCCTTTCAAATATCAGTGCGTATGATTTGGAGTTCCGTGCAACTGATCGTAGCATCTAACGGAAGAAAGTTAATGATAGAAATCTTACTTTCGAGAGTTCACGAATGGCAAAAGAAAAGCTGAAAAGTAGTGCCTGAAAAGGTCTTAATGTTGACATTCCAGACTATATACACTCCTGTACAAATTAATTGAAACAACCGCTTTAGTTTCCTTTCTTTCACCATACGTTTAGTTTTAGACCCACTGGACTGACAGGGTGTAATCGATTTCTATTTTTTCCTCAGATTAGGCCAATTGCTCTGGTGTGCAGTAATATGAATTTATTTTCGGGGTGTATGATGAAATTTGTTTTGTCTTGAATAATATTGCGTCATCCGTAATTGCATCAGATTTTTATCACACCCAGACCCTATTGTCTCGACTGTCGATCAGTTGTCCTACGGCCATTACTCCAAGGAAGCATACGAAAATTGTAAAGCTGCGCAAACACACTGGCTAGCCTTACCAGTGATAAAATCAGAGTATTATCGACTGGCTCGGAAACTCTCCTGATTTAAATCCAATCTAGAATCTATGGTCAATCTGCAAGGAACGACTTCATGGAATGGGAATACGAAGTACTAACATGGATCATGTTTCATTGGGAAATTATGGAAAAAAAAGTAAATATAATCGGAATTATTCGTTTTGTTTCAATTAATTTGCACAAGGGTGTAGGTGACAGGCATGAACTCACCTGTGATGTTTGCTGGAAAATTAAGACATATGCGAAATCATTGCAGCAGAGGACCGATCAGCTACGAAATGGTATTAAATAAAATAATTCCTGTGACATTTGTTGAAAAGTTTGGGAGTCAGCTGTTGGGCTGAAAAGACACGCAAAAAAATATGACGTAATGACAACAAAATGTGAGCGTCTCATGCCTGCCAACTTTGCGTCAGAGGTTTTAAATGGTTGTCCTGTTTCTAGGGCTATACTCGTTTAAAAGTTAATTGACTTACAAAGATATATTTGTGATGGCCGAACTCGACAACGCGGTGGCACGCAAATTGTATGTGTGCATGCATATCTTGCTTAAATAGCCTTTGTGGTTTTCTCAAATTATTTCTTACACCATCTTGTTGCATTATCGCCTGCCTTTTGGTAATGTCAACTCAGAATTAAACAAAAGAAATTTCAAATCATTAATGGTTTTCGTTGCGGGTAATTTGATGATTGCTATGTCACAAAAAAAATAACAATTTATTTTATTCAACGCCCATGTTAAAAGGTTTATTCTTTACGGCCGTGACCGTTATTTTAAATAAATAAATAACGAATAAGGATTATTTCGATGTAATTATTTTATTTTCATTATAATAAATATTAACTACTGATCGCATTTTATTTTTCTATTATTTTTAAATTTAATAAACATCTTTTCAATGTAATTGTTTATTTTCATGATAAAAAACATTAACTACTGATCACTTTTTATATTATTTTTAACTTTTAATAAACACTTTTTCAATGTAATTGTTTATTTTCATGATAAAAACATTAAGTACTGATCACTTTTTATATTATTTTTAACATTGATAAATACCTTTTTAATGTAATTGTTTATTTTCATGAAAATAAACATTGACTACTGATCATTTTTTATATTGATTTTCAATTTTAAACATTTTTCAATATAATTGTTTATTTTCATGATAAAAATATTAACTACTGATCACTTTATATTAATCTTAACTTAATAAATACTTTTTCATGTAATTTTTATTTTCATGAAAATAAACATTAACTACTGATCTCTTTTTTATATTAATTTTGAATTTTAAACACTTTTTCGGTGTAATTGTTTATTTTCATGATAAAGAACATTAACTACTGATCACTTTTATATTAATTTTAAATTTTAATAAATACTTTTTCAATGTAATTGTTTATTTTCATGATAATAAATATTAAACTACTGATTCCATTTTTTTTATATTAATTTTAACTTTTAATAAATACTTTCACAATGTAATTGTTTCTTTTAATGAAAATAAGCATTGACTACTGATAGCAAGTCTGTAGACGAAAATTGGCGATGGTTAAATGTAATTGGCAGCAATGTCCAACAAACAGAATCGACAAAGTTTGCAATAAACAATAACAAGAGAAAGAAATTAAAAGACCTGGGTAAAAATAATACTAAGCAAATATATGTAAGAAAAACAACGATAATAAGGCAAAAAGTTCACAAAAGAATGATGTTAACACACAAAAGGGGATGCAGACAAGCGATCGCAGCGTTCTGACTTCAAGACAAGAACGAATAGAACTAAGTCGGATCAGACGAAAAGTGGCTTAAATTATTGGCTCGAAAGATATCCCAGCATGCATCTGAATGTTTTATCAATAAATTTGAGGAGGGGGTGTTTTTGTAGTCATTCTTACGTTGAGTGGAACTCAAAATGTCTATTTTATTTGTAATTATTTTTATTTACTTGATAAATCCTTTTTTTCAATGTATTTTTTTTAGTTTCGTAAGGATATAATATGAATATAATATGAACTACTGGT